CACATTAAAACATGCAATTAAATGGGTCATCATAATTTAAAATATTGGCTCTTTTCAACTCATCTTTTTTTTTTTTTTTAGAAATAAAGAATAATAATAATATAATGATTAAGTATCATCCTAAATTCTGGACGGATGGAATTTATCAGTGTTGTCGGCAAACTGAAAAACTAGCACCTGGCTGTGAAAAGTATAATCTCTTTGAAAATGGTAAATGCCTTGTTACCTTACGGTCTGTCTGTATTTTCATAAATGCACCTGTTTTTATCTTTACACACTTTACTAACAATTTACTATGTTTGCTGCTACGGGACTTACCAGATAGTTTGATTAGGGTGCCACGCAGCACCGCTGCCAAATTAACTTAATGTTTAACCACTGTGGTGACTTAGCAGTTTTTGAGAAAATTATATATTCAGTTAATCAGAAAACGTCACATTATGTTGTCCTCCTTTTTCCTTTTTATTAAGGAAAAAATTCTTGGACAGGCTTGGTCAACATTGAAAATTCAGAGTTGTTTTTTTTTAAAAGACTGACAAGATCAGGTGAATTTGGGATATAGTTGTAATTACAGTTTTTTTGTTTATTCTTTTTATGTATTTTCCCCTGTGATGTTTTTCTTTCCTTCTGTTTTTGTTCGTTTTTATTTTATTTTACATTATTTTATGTTTGTTTGAAAATGGATTAGTAAAAATGATCTGGTAACAAAATTGTGGAAGATTTGCACACTGTGTAGCTCAAGAACAGCTGCTCAGCCAGGGTTAGGGTTAGCTAATTGTGTCAGAATCTCACCTTTAATGTCTTTTAAGTGTTCTTTCTTCACGCGTGTGCATCCATTTACACTTCAGTAGCACAACAGAATGATGATTGAATGAATGTTGATAATAAGGAGTAACACCAAAATGTACAAACTGTTCATATGACATCATGTTGCTTTGGGGAGTTCATTCAATTTCATTATTTTCTGTCTTAAAATATTTTCCAGGGTATTAGTTTTAGGATAATAGTAAAACCTATAATATAGGCAATGTTATAATACTAACAGAAACGTAGAAGTTACTAGCAGAAAAAGAAAACAACTGTACAGTACAGTGAATGACATTTTCTAATATTCATTAAACTTTTAATGGATGTATGCAAATGTATAGAGTTTTATTTTCTCTTGCTTTTTTAAGGAATGATGACTTCACCTTCATCAACGACAGAAAAACATAAGGTAAGAATAAAATTCAGTGCACTGAACTAGAATTGTTAAAAATTACATAGTTTAGGACTAGAGTACTGTAATTAGGACAAAATTCTGATAAAATTGTGGAGTATATGTCCAAATCTAAATTCAATGGGTTGAATTTGTCTTCAGTTTAGAAGACAAAAAGTATTCTTGTGCAAAATGGAACTTTTAACTATTGTTGTAGAGATAATTTGTTCTACCAATTTCTTATGTATCTAAGTTAGATTAGTAATTATTACCGTCACAATCTGTGGGAAATTACATAAGTCATGCATAAGTCACGAGATTGGAATTCATACATTCTGAGTGTGCTGGTGGTCCCCTCCAATCACAGCGCATGGCGGGGAGAGGCTGAGGCAGAGGGCACTGTTTATCTCTCGTTGCACCCACGTTGGGAGATGGGCTGCCTGTGGATATCAGACATGTCCCCTGCATAATACCTCTTCCATACACTGCTAAAAATTGAATTGTTTCCAAAGGCTAATGGTGACTGAGATGATGCCTATGAATTATTGAGAGACCGATGTTTTAATTGTTATTTCTTGTTTTGATTGACTGGTTTTAGGTATTTACTGTGGATGTTTCATTGTATGGGGTTGTGAATCGCAGAGAGTCTTGTTGACTATGGCAGGCACAAATTGGATGGATGGATAGATATGGAATAGATACGGAAGAGAGGCTTATGTTTTAACTTCCTTTCATCTTCATAAACTGGGAGATTTTAAGGAAGACCGACTTGTTTGAGCCTGTCTGTGTGTGCTAATTGAGGTGATTTTGCAAAAGAACAGAAATGACTTTAAGAGATTTGCTTCCATTGATCTGTTCATTCTTTGGGCATCTAGTCATCATTTTTTCAAAAGCCTGAATTAAATATTTAGTTCTCTGATAGTATTCTATGACATTTCTTTGCTGTACCAAACTACTTAATTTGGAATCACCCCAGCGGGGAAAATACTAAGTTCTTTCCCTACACATTAGTTGCTCCCTGCAGTTTCTACTCCCTAATCAGTTTCTAGCCAATTCTCCACCATTCTCCTCCAGACTTCCAGATTGGGAATTAAACTTCACAGAGAGTGAATTTGCCTGTGCAGGTAGATTCCTGCATCCCACCCACTTGCTTGCCTTTTCTCGTTCATTCACGTTAGCTCCACAAAAACAGGTTTGGGAACTAGCAGTAATGTAGTTCCACCCTGATAATTGCGCACCTTGAGAGGGACAAGCCTCTAACCGCGATGCTAGCAGTCGTCAGCAGAACTCACAGGCACGTGCTACTGACAGAGCTGTGCCAGCAAGTATCAGTCAGGGATAGGCCGTACTAAATGCAAGATTTATGATTAGTGCCTTCAGCTCATAAAATACAAATATTTTGTATGGCCTCATTGACTCTGATGAGGATATCAACCCTCCCCCCCCCCATTTTTCCCCCCAAAAATGAATGAAATTTGTAGCTGTTATAATCCATTCTTACAGGGTGAAGGCTACCAAATTGCAGTCAAAGAAATTCAGGGGTTTTTTGTACCATGTGACTTTTAAATTGCTGATACAGATAACATGCAGGCGTCTGTATATGCATACACACATAACAGGTTTGAATGAAGTTTGCAGACTTGCCTTTTCCAACAATATGAGCCTACTAAATTCCAGTCAATACATTTGGATATTTTTGTCCCAGGGAGTCTTCAGAATATTTTGGAGAAGGGGAGATTTGATTGTTTTGCACACATTTTTGGGGGTATGTCTGTGTGGTAGTAGCACATATCATGGAGGGATTCATAAATAAATAACTTTCCTAGTGTTAGAGAGATAACGATGATTAAAACTAGTGTTAGAAGGTTGGTAGCATGTAGACATTTTTATATATTAAGACATTTAGATGTTTAAACATTTA